TCTGTTGAATTTCTGGCAGTGAATTTTCTTCAGGATAATGATAAAGTTAAAGACTAATAAAAAAACAGAGCTCGAACCCTCATAAGATTTGTGTACGGATAATCTGAGTTCTGTGGACCTTGATCTGAGATTATGTCAAAAGCCATTTCCAAAGTCAAATAAAAACTTTTGAAGCTGGACCTTGTTTGGCTGCAAACCAGTTTCTTTTAAGGAAATCTGACTTTCATCTCATCTCGGCAGGATGAATCTGCCATGTGAATCAGCAAGGCATGGGTTTCTCGAGCCGAGGTGTAACCTTTGATTCAACTTCACCCCAGCAAACCCTGCAGCGTCCCTTTGACTGTAGCCGACGTATGGCTGGTTAAAATAAGGGCATGGAGGCTGAAACACTCAGGTTGAAATGTGCATGAGGTGAATAACAGGAAGCAGTGAAGGAAGATGAAAAGGAGAATATATATTGGAAAGAAACAGCAAAGATTCCTGGGGTTTCAGGGAGACGGGCTTGCAGAGAAAAAAGAGAGATAGAGCAAAGTCTCCCCCTTGGGTTGTCAAAGAGAGAGAGGGAGGTATTAACCACGGGGTAAAAGAGAAGAGGAATAAGGGAAGCAGGGTCACAGCATGGAGCAGAGAGCAAGGAGACACATAGCAAGGTGAGATAAGGCCCAGTGTGGCAGCACATGGAAGAGGAAACGCCACAATATTTCCGTTCCGTCTTCATCTATCCATCAGTCGCTCCTCTTCCCAAGTGACTGTACATCTGTGCAAGTCTGTCTTTGTGTGTTTGTGAGGATCCAGCTTGTTCTAGCATGGGGTAAAACACAGACAACGTGGGTCCTGTCACGGACAGGTTTCATTTAGTTGGGAGGAAGTCACAGGAAGAACTGTCAGGGTGTGTGTGTGCGTATCTACAGTATGTATGTGTGTTTGTGTGTGTCTGCTCCGTGGGTGGGCATCAACTTCAATTTGAGATTCAGACCTGACACAACCCTGTCCGTCTGTCAGAGCATATACTTTTTAAGGCTTTTTTCTGTTTGCCACACAAGTTACAGCTTTCAGAGAGCTAAACCTCCTTTTTAATACTGGGCTCTGTCCAGATGTTGCCCTTTTAGTTTTGTCTCATGTGAAGACTTGCTGTAACTGACCATTTTAATCACTCAAACAGCTGTCATCAATATTTTTCTATTAACGTTTTAATAAATCGAATGGACAAACCCACTGGAGCCTGTCTCGCAAAGTACCAGAGAATACAGTATTAGCAGAAGGGATTTATATGTTGATGGAGTCCAGACAGAGATAAAGTAGAGTGATTATTACAGGGTCAGTTCAGGGTCAGTGAATATTTAAAAAGGATTAAAAAGAAAGAAATAACTAGAGTGTAACAGTGATTGTCCACTTTTAGAATAACTCTGGATCCTGTAGTAGATTTCCCATTCACTTTCTTCATTGATGTTTCAGGAAATCCTTATAAAAAGAGTTTTATGTCTGGAACCAGGTCCACCAGCTACAAGAGAAAAGAATATTGGAAAACAGAAAAAAGGCTCAAGTTAAGACTGATTCAGCCCTTTGGACTCGGATGGTAGCCGACATGATTTTCAGAGTTGTGGCAAACATTTCCATGGCAACAGCGAGCTGCATCAATCACAGCTGTTGCTACTACACCTGAGGGTTGAGGATAGTGTAGTATTTCTGATATTGCTAATAAAAAATGTTTTTCTTAAAACCCAGTTGATACAGACCTGTGGCTTCTAGGAGCGTCTACCTTGGATGGTAAAACATTATGGCTGATTATCCAAATCTCTAATCTTAATATTAATGGAATTTTTACATTCCAGTACCACACTGTTGAGTAGTTTGTTGAAAGTACAAATAACGTTTAAACTTTGGAAGCTAGGATTCACAAACAAGACACATCCAGTAGAGATGCTAAAAAGTGACTGGTTGAACTAGTTAGCATCCGCTTAAAATTAGTTTATCTGCTTGTTTTCCTCAGGTGTTTTTGCTTTATATAGACAGGTTAAAAATATAGCAGAAATCTAACAAAAGGTCTGCAACAATCAGGAAAAGGAGACATTTTCTCCCCAAACTGTCATGGGTATAAACTCTGTCAGGAGGAAAAAAAACAAGAGCTGTCAAGACTTGGTTATTCCTTCATCCCCAACCGGCTCGTCTCCATTCTTCGATCCCCCATCCCTTCATCCCTCCACCAAACTCCCATCAAACCTCCGACTGACTGACAGCCGTCCCTGCGAGGCTTCGTTGCCTGAGAAAACTCGCACACACCCGCACAACCATCTGATCCGATGCCGTGACTCCCCCTCCCATCAAAGGTGCCCCCTCTCCTGTTTTGTTGCATTCTGACAGGCTGGTGTTGGGTTGCGTTGGCTTGTGAATGTGTTCAGGGCTTCAGGGGTCAAAGCAGCACAGTAGCCAATGCGCCCAGATGTGGATTCTCCCTGACGTGTCTTGTCAAGCGGAAAGCGCAGAGAACAGCCGCGCACATGTGCACTAGATGATAATAAAGACTTGCATGTGCACAGATGCACAATCCGGCACGTTGGAGCGGTATGTTGAATTGCTTAGGTTGGCCTAATTAAACACTGTGGGGGTTCAAGTGTAGTAGAGGAGAAATTGTACCCAGAAAAACAACAAAAGAAATGACTCTATTAGTCTGTTGCTATGTTTTAGGACTAAAGAGGAACATTTCAACAAAGCCGCAGCATCAGGAAATTGAATATTTGTATCTTTACTGTGTCTTAATAATAAATGTCTTTTTTTTTGGAATGATATAAACCAAACTTTAAACAGTCGAGCATTGATTGACATGCTTGTGGAGAAGTGAAAATCCCACAATGACTCAGAAACAGCTAATAGGATGAAAAGAAATTTGATGAGAAGAGATGAAATTTGTAATCGTGTAAAGGAAGAGAAAACAGTCGAACTTTTAAAATCCAATAAAGTTCGAAAAACGGTGTGTGATAAAGACAAATGGAGTACAAATATGTAGAGCAAAGCCGAGGAGGAACAATAGTGGAACAAAGTCAGTATAATTAATCTGTGTGTGGAGGTATGGTTGGAGGCTCATGAGAGGAAAGACAAACAGCCCGTTTTCACTTCATATTTTTTCAAAGAGCCGCTGCTGTAGCTGCGACCGTCCTATAAAACTACTCTCCCATTTATTAGCCACACATCCAAGGTCTGTTAGAGGTCTTCAGGGCCGTTTGAGGCTGGGAGCCGGGGCGCGATGCCACGAGGCTTCGAAAACTGGCCTACAACGGCAGCAGGTTCAGCTCAAATCTTTTTTAGCAGCGCTCCAAGTCAGCACATCTTTCACACGTGCTGCCAGAGAGGCGGACAACTCCGCCAACCTCTGTATTTTGTCATGATTGTCCTTGTTTTAGCTGGTGTACCAGACCACCTTCGCCGTGACACCGCTGCAATTTCTCCTTCAGCCGCTACTTTGTTTTTTCCACCAGCTCTACGCAAGGGGAACACATTCTTAAAAACTCACAGAGGGAAAATAGCCGGGCTTAAGCTGTCCACTAAGTCTAAGCTGTATGTCCACGATATGTCTGAGGTAGTACTCACTGCTCTGTCTGTTTGCTCAGCCTCAGCAAAGCCCATTGTAGTTTTTTCCCCCATCTTTCTTCTTCCTTGAAAAAGCTCTCTGTTTTACCAGTTTTGATAGTCAGTGAGAGGCTTGAGAAAGTGAAAATGTGGGGATGGCAGAAGCAGAAAGAAGACAAGACAAGGCGCCTATGGCTATGGATGAGCCCGGAAGGAGAGTGAGTGTGCGGAAGTTTATCGATCAGGGCAGATAACCAGCGTTTGGTCTCAGTCCGGAATGTATGAAGATTAGCTCTCCCTTCCTCTCATTGCTTCTGTTTCTCCTTCCCTCTCTCACTCTTTGCCTCTCCTCACCTCACACTCTCTCTCTCCCTCTCTCGCCTTGGCTCGCTTCCCTCTACCCGTCTGCCTGCTGCTTACAAACACACAGCTCATTTCTGTCTGGCGGCTTGTCCTCCTGCCTGCTCACTGGTGCCTGCTGCTGAAGACTGAGAGGACCTGAGACGTGCACTCGGCAGCCTGCCAACCTGTTTGTGTGTTTTGGATCAGTGGTGTCTTTATCCAGAAGCTGTGTGTGTGTGTGTGTGTGTGTGTGTGTGTGT